CTCTTCAGGTATGCTTGACCTTTCTTTACAAAGGGTAACGTTCAGTGCAGATCCCCTATGGGACATTGTTTATTAATGTGAAATCAGCGCTCACTGTACATAACTATGGGATGAGAGAAGAAGGTGGTGATGTAAAATGTCCTTGAGAGTGGGTCTGTTATGGTGAGTCATGCTCTCTGCATGCCTTGCTAGTTGCTCCTCCTTTCAGATGATAAGGTTTTGCAGTTTCTGGAATAAAGAGCTGGAGTGGACCCCTATATTTGTCTAAAGAAGTTGTGTAGAGGCTGCCTGGCAGCAGCTTGCACATTTGCTGGGCTCAGTGGAGCTCTGGTGAAGAAGCCCAGATGCCACTTGCTCCTGCCGCTGCTTGGTCATGGTCAGGGCTCAGCCATCCCAAGAAACACAAAACCAGGTTCTGGGGAAATAACCAGACTTTGCCCATGGGAATCACCTAATTAGATGGGTTTATCAGGTGTTTTGTAATTTTGTAATTGCAGAAATACGTAGATAATTATTTTCCTTTGAGCCAGCTTGTGCTTACTTCTCTTAAGAATGTGCCATGAAGAAAAAAGGTAAACTGCTATTTAATTGTACTTTAGACTATAGATATTTAAGGCAGCTAAACCACAACAGTGTAACAGGGTACAGAGACTATATAAAAGTTTGAGTAACATGAGATTGATCCAGAGCTTTCTCTTTTGCCACACTTTTCTGAAGTTTTAAAATCTACATGCATAGTATCAAGCAAGAATGATCCAGATGAGTAATCTGTTTAAGTGTAAGAGGTAGCATATTTGCTAAATTATAGCCCGATTAGAATTCTGCATTTGATGATTTGGGTGTGGTGTTTTTTGGTGGCTTTTTTTGTTTCTTTTTTTTTTTTTTTTAACCAATGAATTATTTGAAAAATAGTGTACAAAACAGGAAGAGAAAATTATTTTCCAAACAGTAGATCAGTTAAGCTCAGCTTGCACTTGATGAAGCTTTGTTCTTGTGTTTAGCAACAGGTTCCATCCTGAATAGTTATGTTACATACATATGCTATGTTTTTATTTAAAAACTATTTTATGATTAAGAAATATTGCATGATAAGATGTAGACTAGCCCAGTACTAGCTCAGGAAATACTCATCTTGAATAAAAAAATTATGCTTAAAAACCAGTACTTATTTTGGACAAACTTCTCTTGCCTTATTGATCAATAATTCACTGAGTTATGGAGGCATTTATATGTTCCACAGAGATACTAGACCAAATTTAAAAATAAGAAAGAAGATTTACAGTTTTTAATGTATATACTTCTTTTGAATTGAAAAGATAGAGAAGAATTTATTGTAATATATAATGCACAAAAAGAATTCCAATCATTGACCTCAAGATATCTGTTCCTGCAGTCTCTCATGTAGATAAAGCTTTTAATCAGAGTAGAGTGTCAGGTTGTGAGTAAAGTTTTCTCCTGCAAGATGTAACAGGCACCTTCCTGTGCTGCCAAGCCAGTGCTCAGCACTTCCCTCTCCTCCTTCTCCCTGTCATTGCTCTCTCCAGCCATGAAGACCCTTGGGGTAGCCCCATGGTGAAGAATAAGTGGCCAGTGCTGCTGGGCTGGTGGCTATTGGAGCACTGCACAGTACTCCAGCCTCGGGAGAGGGCAGTGAATTCAGGCTGAATTACTGCTGAGTTGGAGGCGAGGAGGAAGGGTCACTTAAGAGTTAGGGACACATGCATATATATATATATATATGTGTGTGTGTGTATAGATACGTGTGTGTGTGTGTGTGTCTGTATGTATGTATATGTGTGTATATAGATATATATGTATAATGCAGAGCAGAGTCAGAAAAGAGGAGATGAAGAACATACAGAGTCCGACAAGGAAGTATCATCCTGTGGTCAATGCACAAGATCCAGACAACTTAAGTTTATTGTGTCACACTCATCTCCAGCGTTGGCTTTGTACTGATGCACCTTAAAGGGTTGTGCAGGCACTACACCTTAGATACGGTGAAACAGACTGAATCAGCAGAAACTCAGCCTCCTTGTGTGAGGGAGATGGCAGCCGTGCAATTTCAGCCCAAAAATCAGAGGGGAGCAAATTCAGAGGGTCTTGTGCTTTTCCTGCTTGGCTCCACAGGCTGCTGTTCTGTGAAAACTGTTGATAGACTTGAGGTTTTGGCTAATGTTAGGTGTTTCAAAAGTAGTCAATGGCAATTGCTGTGTTACTACTTATGGTTTTAAACATGTGTCTTTTGTAGTTTAATGGGAGAGAGAGGGTGGAGAAATCTTGTGGGCAAAGCTGTGGAAATAGAGGGAAATTTTCTTAAGTGTCACATTAAAGAGTTGAAAGCATATTTTGATTTAATGGCACCAGTAAACCCCTCTGCATTCATTTTCTATTGTGTTGTTTAACTTAACTGTTGGTTGTAAAAAAAAACAGAGATAATTAATGTTAGAACTGTGGTAATGTCGAAACCAGGACCAGAACTGCAGGTAGAAACTGCTGTGGAACTGCTGAGGCCCTGCATTAGAGAACTCACTGTCTACTCAGAACAAACAAAACACAGAAGTGGAAAACTGAGGCATGGAAAGAAAAGTTAGTTCCATAAGAAACCAGGAAATGAGCTCAGGGCTTATGATTATCATCCTGCATGTTATTTCCAAGCATACCCTCTCTTTCTCAGAAACCAGAAATACTAATACCAAACTACTGAACATTAGAAAAATATATTCTGTTCCACTTTAGAATGAGCATTTTTTCATTAACATTTATGTCATTATATCAATTGTTGTTTTACATAAGTATATGTAACATATAAAATTTTAAGCAATGACTATGCTAGATTTACATGGATTGTAATATCAACTGTTTCTTGCTTGCCAACATGGTAGTGCCTTAGCAGAAAATGAGAATCATACCCTGTGGCTCAGTCAGTGCAAGCCATTATGTTAAGTATACACACATGTATACTTACATATAAGTTCTTGAAGAACTTGCAGAACAAAAAAAAAAGTTATTTTAAAAGATCCCTTAACAAATATTATTGGTGGGTGAGAAATGAGAATGCAGAACAGTAAGGCAGATTTGGTTGAATAAATGCTGGACAATTTAGCTCAGCTTTCTGCAGAAAAAGAATCTGTTTTTCAACTGCAAAACCCTCACTGGTGGATTCAAGGAGTCCAATTGTCTTCTCACAGTAGAAGCATTTAAAGCATTGACAATGTTCAGAAAGTCAGAAATCCATATGATAAAATAAGATGTAGATATTTGAAAGAATTCAGTTTGAAGTCACAATACATAGGCAAATACAAAAGGATCTCTGAAACAGAGTGTCTGTATCTAGAATGCTATTACAGTTAAGAAAATGTAATTTATATTTAGGATAACAGGGTTTTGATGTGTTCATGAGAGAAGAAAATCCTCATCTTTGGGGAATGACAAGAGAAATAGCTTTACCTATTGCACTCTGCATAAAGATCTAAATTCTATACCTCTTTTTGGCATTGGTCTTAGAAAAAGCAGATTTTTTTTTTCTACAAAATGAAAGCCTAATGACTTGGAATTGGGGGTGTAGATGTCTTAGAAGTTTGTTATTAAATACATGTTTATTTCAGTAGTTGAGAGCCTGGCTGAAGACTAGAATCACAAAATTTGAAATTGAATAAGTAATAATGTTCTTTTATGTATGCTGCAATTTATTTGGGAGAGGGATGGGAGTAGCATGACAGTAGGATTTTATGTTCAAAGTTGTCATGGTAATGCAACCTACTACCTGTTGCGAAGACTATGCTGTAGCTGTTATTACTTTTATTACAGCTCTTTATCCTTTAGTTTTTAAGGTGTTTGTTACAATTCAATTTCATTTTTAGGAAAACCAGTAAGTTTTGCCACTTGCCAGGAGGGCTCTATAGTAATAGCAGTGATAGCAATGCGAGAACCTGATTCTGCTGACTCCTGGCTCCTGTCCTCTAAATGCAGAGATATTTACAAGCTATCAAACCATGTAGGAAGACAAGATTATCAAGACAGTTCAGTGCCCTGTCTATATTAATATCCACTTTTTCTGTAAAGTCAGTGATCAATATTTGGAGACAGAAATACCCCACCAATAGCACCATAGAAAACATACAAACAGGTGGTTCCTAGCATTAGAACCTGGAGGATCCTGTCTGCTTCAGAGTGTCCCAGGATCTCTGTTACTGTGCCAGCCCTGCTGAGCAGCAGCACTGTGGTAAGCCTGAAGTCAGCCAGAGTGCTTCCATTTGGGATCCTAGCTGTGAGACTCTCAAGATACCATCAGCCCCTGTAGACAGTAGATGGCTGGCTCAACAATACAGTGCACAGAAAATATTTATCAAAGTCGAGATGGTTGTCTAAACCATGCCTTTCAAGTATGGGGATGGTGATAGATGACTTCTGTCTTCTGCACTTAAAATGCTTTATTTATACAGCATTCTCTCTTGTTGGATTATTTTTTCAAGACCTGTCTCCTGGTTTTAGTTCAATAACTCCCTATCCTTTCCTGCTAGATAAAAATTGTCTATCTTTTTATCCACATGTGAAAGCCATTGGCTGAATTTTGCAGAATTTGTACTGACAAGCTCCTGAATCTCTCATGTCTTCAAAAAGAAAATGTACTAATTAAGCAGTTTGTGCAAATTGCCCATTCTTATGCTCCCCTCTGTCTTCATGCCCAGTCGTTTAGGACTTTATGTAAACTTTTATATAAACTTTTATATTTTATCTAGAAAATACTGAATGTTAAGTAGGTATCATGAAGTCGAATCAAAAAGTTACTGTGTTTTATCCAGAGCAGTACTCTGATGGCTGTTGCATAACAAGTGCTGGTTTTTGTTTAACTGAGCTGTGGGCTAATATTACACTGTACGAGTATACACAGTACATACATATGTGTTTATTGGTGTGAGCTAAAGGTGCATGTACCTGTTTTGTTTGTTACCAAATAGTCGCAGGGATAATCACAGTGGAAGGTATACTCACAGTTAAAGGGTTTGGTGTGGTCTCAGTTTTCTAAATACAATCCTCAAGGATGAGGTCTTGGATTCTTCCCTCCCATGTTCTGCTTATATTTGTGGCACCTAATTTAGGAAAAGAAGGGTCTTAGACTCCATCTGCATCAGTCAGAAACATTTTGGGTCTTTGAACATCTCTTTAAGCATTAGTCACTGGGTGGAGGCGCGTACTTCTCTCCTCTCATTTAGACCTATGAGTGTGTGAAATACGTTTGACCTTAAGGCAATAATTCGTAGCCCATTGTCAAGCTCAAAAACAAGTGAAAGAATTGCCAGTGCAATATAATACATTGATGTTTTGGAAACCTACCTTTGTTAGCTCGTGCAATGGAGGGCCTCTGTCTGTCCAGTCAACTCTGGCCACTTTTTTAGTCAGATGTTTGTGTTGCAGGCTCTACATTTGCTCCTGCAAGAACAGACAGGTCTGTGAAGGGGGAAATGTGGGTGCTGCTTCAATATCTGAGTTTCTGATGACTGCGGTTACCTGGTTCTCGATGGCAGTTTTTGCACCCTCTTGGTTTTCAATTGTCTGCAAGAACTTTTTCCAAAGTCTGCATGTTGTTAAGAGCTGTGCCTCCAGATGTGTCAGTTCAGTCTTCTCACCAGTCACTGGTGTCATATGATATGGTTAAAGAGAGGATTTCTAGAGTGTCTGTAAAAGACTCATTTAACTTGTTCATCTGTCAGAAAGGACAGCTGTTAAAGGTATGCCTGTGGATCCTTGGGTCTTCCTCTGTATCCAGGTAAGACATACCAGGAAAATTCCAGCACTGAGAAGGTTTTTATGGACAGATTGTCAACTTCTCTTTCTTGCATTTTACTTATTGGCACAGGGAGAGGTGATAGTACTGTTTGGGAGGTTAAGATACAGCTGTGGTGTGGATTTTGGTCAGTAAAGGAGGGCAGAAATTAGAGCTGGCAGGTACAGTAAAGCAGTCCCAGTAGTTCTTGTTGAACATAAGAACCACCATGCATTCCAAAATACTAAGAAAACAGAACACGGGTGAAATGTCTCATCTGCAGCTGGAAAAGGAATTTTCAATAGCTGAATGTCAAGTAAATCACTGGGAATAAATTGATAAAAATAATTAATTCACACGGTAGGAGCACTATTAGGGAAATTAAGTAATTTTCTGTGTAAAAAAAAAAATTAAAAACTGAATTTAAATTTCTACATCATCATTTTATCCTCCTTTTTAAAAAGGGAGTACCACCAATTACTTTCCTTTGCAGAGCATTTTGAAACAAAACTGCAGAATGCATTCGATGAAATCAATACTTATGAGCTCATTAGGACTACTAGCAGAAATAGTAAAACCATGCAGCACACAGCATGGAAAAACTTACATTTTGGAATGTTTACAGGCTTAAAAATTCAGTGCTTACAAATGAATGAAGTGAGGTAGCTGCTCCAGTTTCTCCTGCTCCAAAGGGGAGTCGTCCTGAGCCTGCAAGCCTTAAATCAGTCTCTTTGTGTCTGTTCAGAGGAAATGGTTTTGTTCAGAAGATCTGATGTACGTGAGAAGTCTTTATAAAATGCCTTCGACAAACAAGAATTTACAGTAACACTTTTAGCACTAATACAACAGAATGAAAAGAATCCAAACCAGTATGAATCACCATGAACAAGCATCTCTTCAAATAAAAATATAATTCCAGTAATTCTCGTACTCACTCCTAATGTAGCTTTAATTTGAGTTTGCTGCTTTTACAGAGCAACACTTCTCTCTTTTAGAAACCCTTCCACTAAAACCAGATTGATGCTTAAAACATCATCAAGCCCTCTTCCTTCAGGTCAAAAATCCCAAGCCTGTTCATAACTGAAATAGTGGAGGAGCCATGGGCTCCATGGAGTCCACAAGAGGCCTTACTACTGCTGCTTGGTTTTCCATGAAAAGTTGTCAGCCACTGCAGTATGTACTCTGAACAGTCAACTTAAGAAATACTGGAATATAGATTGTAAGAAAGCTTGACTGGAATAAATACTTGTAACCTCTTGTGAATTTGCTGTGGTATTCCTGATTTACCACATGGAGCTGTGTACTAAATAGAATCAATAATTTGGTGGTTGGCCCTAACTTCTGCTGGATGAAGCTACTCTGTTGTTTTGTCACAGCTATGGCCCTATTTTCTCTCTTAATTTGTTGTGCTTGCTCAGTGAAATTGAATCACACGCTGTTTCAGGCAAGTCTTGGAGAAGTTGTTTTCCTCGGTGCAGATGGTTCTTTCCTCCAGATGTGAAAGGCAGTTAAGAGCTGCCTCATTTTTTTCTTAACCCTTCTGAACCATTTTGAAGTGTCCTTGATTCTATGGCTGCAGTGGTGCCGTGGTTCTTGCCCTATAGCTGATTTTCTTATGCATATCAGTCACAGCTTACATAGGTTGCTCTGGTTTATTTAGTTTGTGTTCTTGTCTGTTTTAACAAGGACAAAGTAATCAAGAGCACAGCAGCCCCTGGGAGATGTCCCTGCTGGAAGCTCTTGGTGCCAGTTTGGCACCAGTGAGGGTGCAGCCCCTGGTGTTTGCAGCTGCAGATGTTCCAGCCTTGCATCTTCAGCCCAAAGCAGTCGAGGAGAGCCTGTACCCTGACCATTTCCCTGCACCCTGCTTGTTTCATTTGGGAACACAATTTCCTGCCTTGTTTCCATAGAATTCCTTCCTTTCACTCTAAAAAGGATTATTTATTTAAAACTGCTAATTGCATAAATTGTCAGAATGACTGCTTAGCTTGATTTTTAAGGTGGAGGCAGAGAGATGTAAAGGTGTGGTGGACTGATGAAAGTCAACCTCAAAGTCGTCTGCCAAAACAAAAAAATAACATTGAATGTCTTGCCATCAGTGTTCCTTGCCTCTTGGATATTAATGTGATAAGTTGTATATCTGGTGTAATCCCTGTTCTTAGTCTCTCTGTTGAGTGTAGTTAGATGTAATTAAAATTAATAGGGAAGAATATAAATATTTTCCAAATATGTGAGCCAAGAAAAAATGGAGGAAGGGAGGTGTGGTGGTTTTAGCCCACCACCACTTCCTAACTAATCTTTCTCTAATGATGTAGAGAGAGACTAGGTGGCACCTGGTGAAGTATTTTGAAATAACAGATTCATGAGGTAGAGCAACTTGATAACATCTTTGACTCATCAGAAACTTGCCTTCCCTCAGGATAAAGTTAATAATCATATAAGAATATAAAGATTTTAGTGGCTTTTCCTAAGTCAGCAGGGATGCAGATTTATTCTGCATACAGGATCCTGTAGTGCTAGAGACAACCCAAAATTACACTGTCTGTAAGAAAATGTAAAGATACACAAATAACCAATTGGAATCATCACTAATTTTTCATGACTTCCGTTCCTGGGGTTTGCTAGTTCAGTAAAACTCATTCACATTTCTTACTAATTGCATCAATAACTCCATTGCTTTCCCTCTGCTGAAATTACTTGGAATAGTGTACATAAGCATCTCATTTGGCTAGTCTGTAGTTCTATATGAGACAGCAGCACTGTGGGAGGAAGCTGGGCTACTAGGAACATCTGGGCCACAGAGCACTTGGGACAGAGGAGGTGACAGCAGCAGTGAACTTAATTTAAAATAGCTGTTGCTGTTAATACCTGGTATCTCCCAGCATTGTGTTATCCTCAAGTATCAGTAGTGCTCTTCCGTGTCAAGATCATCACGAAAAATTGTTTAGGACCATTCCCAGTATGAGTTTTCTAAATATCATGGAGATTAATGAGTACTTCTTTTCAAGCAAGTTTCCTTTCAGTCCACTGTGTTATCTTCTTAGGTTTAGTCTTCAGTTCTTGTACTCATCTCTTGCTTTCTCTTGTATGTTTAACAAGGTCCGTATTGTTGAATTGCTCTGCAGTATTGCTTTCTTTTCCTTTTGTCTAACAGTTATTTTATTTGAGGTAATTAAGCATCTTGTATGGTCTACTTTTGGTAAGCCCACCTTTTGTTTTCTTCAGTGTTACATTTGCCTACCTACCATTAATGTTCTCTTCCTCAAAATTTGGGCTCACACTATTGTAAGCAATCCTTTTGATACATGACTGTATGATTTTCTTTTTCTCTAGTACTGTGGTACCTCCTCTGATTTGATAGATGTATTATTTCATGCCTGGAAAGAATATCAGTCTTGCTGGTTTTATAGTATCATATGCTTTGGGTGTTTTTTCAGATTTTTGGAGTCTGAATTTCTCTTTTTGTTTTTTAATGTCTCTGATAATACAGTCACAAGTGACATGTTTATCAGTGTGTAATGCAGGGAATTACTTGCAGATTCCTGTTAATTCACTGGTGCCCGCAGAAAAAACATAAGTGTTGGTCAAGGCATGCTCTGAATTCACACCCGTTCTTAATTTGCTGATGCCTGGATTAGTAGCAGGCTCAAGCCTGCCTGATTTTTTTGAGTTTATATAATTTGTACCATGTGCTTGCCATTCTTACTCTTTCTGCACACGTGAGCCAATCTGATGGGGTTACCTGTGGCAGAGAGCAATGCTTTTAAGTCTGGATGCTGCTTCATGGGCTCTGGCTTGTGAGTACTGATGGATTTTGTGTCGGTGTTTTACAAACTCTCCAGCTATTTGCTCCACCCTTCTACTCTTTAATGCAAGGATCGTGGGGGATGGGTTCTTGTACCTTCATTGCCACAATTACATTGCATGTAATTTTAAGTGCTGATGAAGGTAGACCCACGGCATTACCATACCTTTGAAGTGGAACAGCTGAAGAGCAGGTAGAGGTTTGCACCTCCTGCCCCTGCTATCAGAAGGGGTAAGTGGGGTCAACAGCAGCTTGAGTTGTTTTGGACTGGTTCCTCACAGAGGTTGGCAAGCCGGAGCCGAGAACAGGGAACACGTGTTCTGTCTCTGGGAACAAAAAAGCAAAGTGAAAGTAAGGGTGAGAGAACTTAGATTTATATTTATAATCAAAAGTGACTGTGTTTGAAATACTCGTAATTTGCATGCACTCTCTTGTGTCTTTCGTATCTCTAAGGTCCCCTAGAGGGCACGGAAGTTTTTCTCTACCTCAGATATTTAACTTAATAATTCTATTTGGCTTTATTCCCTTAAACATAATTGTAAGCACATTTTAAGTGAACATAGATAAAAAAAAAAAAAAACAGCATTTAACTAGGTCCTTCTTTATTCTACAAGGTGTTTTCTTGTTTTTAAACACAAACAGTAGAAGCTAGCACTAGCAGCCAAATTCTTAAATTATTGTTTAGGTTAGTCGGATGCTATATTTGTATCCCAGAGGAAATGCAATTCAAACTAATTAGAAATTCATACTTCATTACAAACTTTATTTGGGCTACAGTGTGAGCTGTGTAGGGATGGGCAGTAGGTATGGTTTCAACACTGTGGTCTCTGTTTCTGTAGAAGAGGAATTAGTATGGAGAAGAACTAGAGTACTCTAACTAGAACCTCAAGGTCTCCAAAATTCATCTTATTTAAGAATTTTTAATATTTAGGTCTTGTTGATTTCCTGTAACGGAACAATTACATTTCACTACAAGATACTTAAAATTAGGGAAACATAAAAATGACATATGCTTCCCCACTACTTCCTGTCTACTTGGAGAGAGGTTTTGTAACTCTTATATATCCTGGGGAGCATTTTTCTCCTTAAATTAGTTTTGCCTATTTCATCAATATTACATGGTAAGTCAGGAACTAGTCTTTGTGAATTGAACAGCAATACACAATATTAATTCTTAGGATAGTGTTGGCACTTCATCACCTTTAAATATACATACTAACACTCCAGAGTAATGCTTATCTGAGAACATTAGGTTTTCATTTACATGAAACAGCTGCAGTGTTTGAGGAGAAGGCTTGAATTTTCCAGAGTGCTCAAAGAGCAGAAAGTAAAACAAAAACAAACAAACATACAAACCAACCACCTAAGTGCAAAAACATCTTTGTACTTTTTGGGGGGGATTTTTTCATCAGCTGATGGTTTTGAGACCAGTCCTACAACTGTGGAGGTCCATTGGATTGTGAGCCTAGTCCAGGATTGGGACCTTTGTATGTGAAACCATGACAGTCAGAGTCCTACCTGTTCTTGCTTGAGAAAAAAAAGGTAGATGTGTGCACTTTTTGTGAAGCAATAAGAGTCTCCTTGCAGGGCAAGAAGTTGTTCAATAGGATAATGTTGTTTAATCCCAGCCAGCAATGAAGGGTTTTTGTGTCTTTGTTCTGATAAGAGGATCAGCTGTACTGCTTTTCCCAATTACCCAGGGATGTCGTGGGAGATGATTTTTTGGACCTTAGTTTTCCCACTGGAGGAGTGTAATGTCGTCACATTGTATTAAAAAATAGATTTAGATCAAAACAGCAGAGAAAGGCAGCTGCCCCTTCTAATGTCTCGGGGGATTTTGTGTTTTGCAGGAGATGCACGGGTGAGAGGTCAGACAGGGGTTGTCTCCGAGCGCCGTGGCTCCTACCCATTTATAGACTTCCGTCTTCTTAACAGTAAGTGCAACTCTTCTTTCAGGTCTGTATTTAAATGGAAACAAATAAAAATCTCTATTGAAAGTGTATGAACCAAACTATCTCATCTCATATGTATCTGCAGCTCAGCTGTCTTCACACAGTCAGCATTAATTCCATTATTTCCACTCAGTGTCTGGCTCTGAAATACTTTGATTGTGTGAATAGCCCATAATGCTCAGTCTGTCAAATGTAAATACAGTAGGGCCATGGGGTGTGCTAAGGAAGGAGCAGGGGCAGTTCAGAATTAAAGAGATAAACCTCTGTGTCCTTTAGCCTCTTAGACAACAGTTGGAACAGATTTATGTGAAGCTCTTATCCGGTCATATAGAATTGGCACAGAAGGAGAGCATGTGACAGCACTGACCAGTGGTTTACAATAACATTAATTTTTCCAACAGTTAGAACCCAATCCAAAGCCCCATGGAGTCTTCTCATTGACGTCAATGGATTTTGGGTCAGGCCAGCAGTGAACATCTGTTAAAAATAATCTTAACCTCATTTTGATTGAAGTTATTTTGCCACTGTTGTAAATAAAGGACAGCAAATCTAAAGAGAAAAAAAACCAAATTGAGACCCTGTTGTTTTTTTTTTTCACCTGATGGACTCTCTATACTGATGCAAACCCATTAGTGGGTGTGTAGAAGATAAAATAAAAAGAGCCACTTAGTTTTGGGCCCTGTAGCACTCAGCCTTGGGTGCTGTGTAAACTTCAGTGTTCAGACACAGGCAGATCTCAATGTGTCCTTGTGTACTGCGCAAACAACCTTTGGAAAAAGTGTTATTCACTGTCTTCATCGAAACAGACTGGAACTCCAACATTTGCAGTGCTGACTCTTACGCTTCTAGTGATTGTTCTTTTCATCAAAGAGCAATTCAAACCAAAGTTTGAATTCTTCTTTTTGTACCTCCTTGTCTGGGTGCCTGGGGAAGGGAGGAGGAAGCAGGGAGGGAAGGGAGCGGGGAGGAAGCAAAGCAAAGCAGAGGGGCTGGCTGGGAGTCAGCAGTAAAGAGGAGCTGGGGAGGGGAGGGCATGGGCTCTGATGGGCTGCATTCACCTACTCTGGAAGAGTTACTGCCACCCAGCAATGTGCTGCTATCAGTCTTGCTGATTAAAGGTATTTTCTGGGTTGAAAGTCCATCAGAGAGCTTGCTATGGCTAAGGTGGAAAGACAAACGGTAAGATGGGTCCATCAGTTTTCCCAGGACAAAGGGAATAACTTACTGGTTGAGCAGAGTTTGGAGGACAGTTTAGTTCTGACTTGCCAATGAAAAGCATGAAGAAAAATCAGGTGTAGGGTAGCTAGAAATAGTATTGGTCATGCATGCCTTTATAAAGACTGAGAGAAAATAAAACACTTTTCATTCATTAAGTAGAAGTGGATATATATTAATATTCAAATATGACAAAATTAATTATTTGTTTTTGGTTTGAATACATGCACATTATATAAAATTCAGTTTCTTTTAAACTTTTCAGTTTTCAGTTCCTTTACCCATGGAGAAGGAAGAACACAAGAATAGTTTCAGAATTTTTTTCTGGTGCGATAATTTTTTTCTGGTGATAGGGCTTTCACTTCTAACCCCTGTAGATGAGTCCTGCCATCCTCCAGATCCTGACACTTTCTGGGAAATGCTGGTGCTGTCCATGGGCTGTGCAGCGAGACATCTATGGCAAGGGGTGCTCTGGTGAATACTCAGCCTTTAATCAGGCCTGGAGCAGGGCACTCCACATAACCCCTCTAAATACCACTGCTGAACCTAAAAAGTGGTGCCTCCTTGTGTGTGCACCTTTAGGCCAACAGGGTGGGGAACCTGGGGTTCTGTGCTCCCATACTCTCTCTCACAGAGACCTCCAGCTTGCATTTTTTACTGCTTTTCCATAATCTGGAATAAGTCAGTATGGCTGGCTGATCATGATCTCTGTAAGGGAAAGCAGTGATCCTGATTTTAGACTCCCCATGTTTTTCAGGT